AGAAACTGAATTCACTAAAATTAGGCAAATACGCATAGCTAGTAGAGCAAAGTTTTGTTGTTGATGTTTCCGTGTTTTGGGAAATATCATGGATTGTGTTGATTATGGTTTTGGAGGGCCGAGTTGCCTCATTGGTTTATCTTATGCATGTCGGTGAGTTGTTATCTCTATTTATAACAGTGCATGTATAGAGTTGATTGTATCGGGAAAAAGCCAAAATGTCATATTTGTCTTTTGGAAAGTGTGAAGGAGAACGGTCTTTTTAAAGAAACATATATTTTGAAAAGCATATCTTTGTATGTTTGGAAATTGGAAGAGTGTAGTGGGCTTAGTGAAATTATTTCCTAAGGTATTATTAATGTTATGAAAGATTGGGAACAGGGATTAATGAAAAGAAAAGGAAAGATGAATCGCCAATGGCGTTGATTGAAATGGTTGTTTTCAAGAAAAGTTCTTACCTATGTATATTTTGTATAAACTGTCACATTACTATTCTAGTATGAGATTGAGCATTCATGATCATAGCTATCTGTATGTTGTTATTGTTGAGGGCCATGTTGAGATCCCTACTGGACTATATGTTCATCCCACGTTGTTGAATCTTTTTCAGGTGTTTAGCAGGATGTGCTACAAGATTTGAATCTTCTTATTTGTTGGCCATGGGGCCTCTTTGTTGTAGGCGGAATGCCATTTATGTAAAAGGGTTATACCCTTCATTTGATTATTTAATGTTGTAAGCCTGAGGGCAACTTATTCAGAATACTCATGTTGTATTTAATTAGCATTCGAAAGAGAAAGTTGTTGTTCACTCCTTTTAGTTGAACATTCGAGTTTATTTCCGCTTGTTATCTCTGAAATTGAATTAAGTTAATGAACTTGGTAATGACTTCGAGTAATAAAAAGTGGGCCGTGACACTTTGAATGTGGATTCAGATCCATTAACTTTTGAGACAGCTATGAAGTCGCAAGATGTTGCTTTTTGAAAAGAAACAATAAATGATGAGATGGATTTTATAATGGATAATAATACTTGGACACTTGCTGATTTCCCACCTAGATCCAAACCAATTGGTTGTAAATGGATTTTTAAAAGGAAAATGAAAGTTAATGGCACAATTGACAAGTTCAAAGCAAGATTAGTTGGTAAGAGTTTTACTCAAAATGAGGGAATCGATTATTTTGATACATATGCTCCAGTGACCAGAATTGCCACCATTCGAGTATTGACTTCCCTAGCCTCAATCTACACGTTTGAAATATATCAAATGGATGTTAAGACCGAGAGTTAGATGAGGAAATCTACATGCAACAACCGAAAGGGTTTGTTGTACAGGGTCAAGAACACAAAGTGTGTAAACTCGTTAAGTCACTATATAGACTGAAACAAGTTCAAAAACAGTGGCATGAGAAATTTGACAAAGTAATAGTGTCAAATGATTTTAGGATACATGAATTGTATACGGTAAGTTTATTGGCAATAAAGGTGTAATCATATGCCTGTATGTAGATGACATGCTTATTTTTTGTATTGTAATGACTCGAATTTTTTTAAAAAAAATCATTATATAATTTAAGGAAAATGTTTGAGGGCCACAATTTTTGTGGCCACAATGGCTCAAAACTGCCAAAACGACGTAGTTTTGGGTGCAAAACATGTCAAAACGACGTCATTTTGACAGTTTTGAGCC